TTGGGCGATTTGCGGCGGTCAGGACCGCAGGTCCACTCTCCGGAGAAGTGCGCGGTGGGGCCTGCCCCCTTTCCGCGTGGGTGCGCGGTGCTCGCCTGGAAACGGGGCGTGAGGCGATCCCCCGCCGGCACTGGGAGTCCCTGGGTGCCTGCCTGGACCTCACTCGGCCCATCGCAGGTTCCGTGGGAGTAGCTGGGTCTGCAGAGGGAGCAGAGGTGATGGGCGAAATGGAGAGTGAGTTGACTACCCTACAGCATCTCAGTGGCTCGCTGCACTTTTATTCATATTTTTGAGTCCCCAGTAAAGCATTGCACTTGTTTCTTAATGAGATAGACACATGTGATCAAACATGGGCACTGCCGGAAAGGAGCTTAAACTTAGTGCCTGGGTCTAGGCTGGGTTGTTAGAAGACCTATCTATCTGCATTTGCAACCATCTCTTTCCCGAATCCCCTTTTTAAGCACCTCCCTCCCGCATTCTACTTCCCCTTCCCCCTCCTCCTTTAAGCTTTGAATCCCCTCTCACCCGTTGGTGACCTTGCGCCATCACCTACCTGTTTCTCATATCTGCTTTCACCGTGTTTCCCCCCAGACCCCTCCAGCAGTCCTGCACCGCCTAACGATGAAGATAGGTTCTGGGAAAGGTTACGAGAAATGCATGGTTAGGGGATGGGTGGTTGTGTGGCAGTCACTGCGCTCACACACACGTGGTACAGCTGACTGCACACCTAGGCTGCATCGTACAGCTTAGTGGTCCTAGGCTAGGAGCCTGCACAGCAGGTTACTGTACCAAACAACGTAGATTAAATCAGGCACGAGAGAAAGTGAGGGCATGAAGAGCCTGGGTAAACGAGATGGATGAGGCTGCTAGTGTAACACAGCATACTTTTTAAAAAATAGGTATAAAGCGTACACTCCACCATAACGATAAAAAGTGTAGTATAGTAAATATTATAAACTATTAATATAGTCTTTTATTATCAAGTATTATGTACTGTGTAATTGTATGTGCTCTACTTTTTTTATATGACCGGCAACACAGTAGGTTTGTTTGCACCAGCATCACCACAAACACTCGAGTAATGCATGTGTTACATGGGCATGATGTCACTAGGTGATGGAAATTTTTCAGCTCCGTTATTATTTTATGGAACCACTAGAGGCCCGGTGCACAAAAATTGGTGCACTCGGGGGGGTCCCTCAGCCCGGCCTATGCCTTCTTGCAGTGTGGAACCCCTCGGAGGATGTCCACCCCAGTGGGGACCCTCACCCAATTGAAACTTTGTTGCTTTGAGTGGAGCTCAGAGCCGGCTCCTGCTCACTCCAGCTCCATGGCCACGGCTGGCTGAAAGCAGGTATCTGGGGTTTATTTACCTTCTATAATTGAAACTTTGTTGCTTTGAGTGGAGCTCAGAGCCGGCTCCTGCTCACTCCAGCTCCATGGCCACGGCTGGCTGAAAGCAGGTATCTGGGGTTTATTTACCTTCTATAATTGAAACTTTGTTGCTTTGAGTGGAGCTCAGAGCCGGCTCCTGCTCACTCCAGCTCCATGGCCACGGCTGGCTGAAAGCAGGTATCTGGGGTTTATTTACCTTCTATAATTGAAACTTTGTTGCTTTGAGTGGAGCTCAGAGCCGGCTCCTGCTCACTCCAGCTCCATGGCCACGGCTGGCTGAAAGCAGGTATCTGAGGTTTATTTACCTTCTATAATTGAAACTTTGTTGCTTTCAGTGGAGCTCAGAGCTGGCTGCCACAGACGGGGAAGCTTGGCTTCCTCCATCATTGGAGCAAGCAAGCGTCCTGCTCACTCCAGCTCGTGGCTGCCGGCCGCCATCTTGGTTGGGTTAATTTGCATATAGTCGCTCTGATTGGCTGGTGGGCTTGGCTTAAGGTGTAGGGAAGATACAGTCAATTTGCATGTTTGTCTTTTATTAGTGTAGATTGACTTTTATTAGTGTAGATGGTTGTATGTGTGGTGCCTTGTCAGCTCAAACATGGTTATGTGGCACAGGAGCTATCTTATAATATCAAAGACAGAATCATGTTAATCTCCTCATGGTAATCTCATTTACTCAGCTCGCTTTATTTCCATTCTTCTTAAAAATCCCATTAAGACTCTAAATAATCTTTGTATGACTAAATATAGAGATTACATTTTAATCTTTACAATTTTCTTTCCCCCATACAACCTCTATGCCATTTGGCACTGCTAACCTATTCCACCTTGTTGAACTCTTGAAAATACTCACCTGTGATGGTGCTCTCCAAGTTTTCCTCCCAGCTCCCTAGATGCTACTGCCTAGTAGTTCTATATGGGCATCTCTTCCTGGGTTTGTTTAAATACTAGTGTTCTCTAATCTCCTACCCCCACCCCGTAGTCACAGTTTACACCTTTATGCCAATGATGCCCACATTTATAACTACCCCTCTGTAACTACCTACCATGTCCTCTTGATGTCCCATAAGCACTCAAATAAAACATCCCAGCCGAAACCGGTTTG